TGTTTCATGGTAATTCTCCCTTTCTGTCTCTGTTGGCTCACTAGGAAAGCCAAAGGGTATTCCCCCCTAGATACCAGTATAGACCTTTAGCAGAAGCCACCCCCTGCCATCAGTATATTTCTTACATTCATCTTTATAAAACTTTTGTATCTCCTTCACTTAATGTACATAGCTACATACGTAGCACCTGCTGCTCATTTGTGGGGTGAGGGAAGAATGGATTTTCATTTTCATCTATTCTGGGTTATGGATTTTTCTTTCAGAAATCTTATGAAGGCTGAGAAACTTCATCCCAAGTACATGTAGATACAAAGTCTCAAAAATTTGTATAACTGTTCAGGAAGATTACACATGGACCTCAGGTTAAAAATCCCTGAATTAGATAAAGAATAAAAGGAAATTGTTAAACTCTTACCAATTCCTACTTTTGGTCAATGTAACGTCACAGTTGAGCTGTGATGGGGCTACCAGACTCACTAAATACTATGGTTAGATGTGGAAAGAGCATTTTAGCAGCAAACATTCAGTGGTGTTTGATCAGCATATTTAAAGCTTTAGTTTGTGTTCAATCTGACCTACCTAGTGCTAGGATGATCTAGAGACATTATCTTTCTTCCTTTCTTATTTTAATGGGTCCAGGGGGTTCTTTAAAAATTTCTTGTAGTTTTCTTATTTTTCCTAAATAATAATAATATTGTTATTATTTTCCATGAAAAATTCTCCTAAGCCGGCCTCTGAATTCCCCTAGCATTCACCTCCTTTCCCACTCAGTACATTTTCCCAGATTCAAGCTGATTACACTGTATCCCAGAAGTTGCAATGAATCTAATTCTTGGGAAGACTTAACTGGTCTTCCTAAGGCTTCAGATGAAAGCTCTGATACAGACCAACTTATTAAGTAGAGAAGTACTTTATCAATGTGGATCAATGTTTACTGTAAGATTTAGGCATTTGAAAAAATATAAGGAGTAAGAATGTTCTAAATCTGACAGCAAATAATATAGAAGCTAATTTCTCCTTCAGAAATAGTTGCTAGAACATGTTGTAAAGGTGAAAGTGGAAACAAACAGAAGCAAATAACAATTTGGTTCTGATTTCAGCACAAACAGGTCACCACTGCTGTTTCCCACCACTATCAATTCTCCATTATTCGTAAAGGAGGCGCTCCCAAGGTAGGGTGAAAATTATTTGTGGTCCTTTTTTTTCTTTTTTTTTAGTCTATTAAGTGAATCATCCTGGAAAATTTCCTTTCAAATTTGATTTAACAGGTTCTTTACAATATATGTGTGACTAAAAGTATTTTAACAGCTTTAATTGTATTACAATGACAGAAATTCTATAGATCTTGTGACAACACATTCCTCTGTTCTGTGTGAGTTTTATTTAATTCCTTTTCAGTGGTTGATATTTGAACCTCTTTCATTTAGAGTAGATCCAGGTACATAAATTCACACAGTGCCTAAGCAGGTCCAAGAGGGGTTAAAAGAACACACCACCAATATAAAGAATGCCACTTCGCTTCTTCATCTATGCAGTATAGTGCTTAAATCTGGGTTCTTGTGAAATTTTAATCAAGTGACTAGGGAATGTGATATATGATTGGGAAGTAATATATAATAGGCATTGTACAAACTACTAAAGTTACTGTATGCTTTGTTCATTATCTTATTATAATCTTCAAGGAGAGGAAATTTCCACTGCAAAGTTGACAATTCAAACCCACCAGCTGCTCTGGAAACCCTATCCAGGGTCACTGTGAGTTGAAACCAACTTGACAGCAAACAGCAGCAATCACAAACATACGTTTAAAAATTTTCTTTTAAAAGAGGAAGTCTTAGGAAGGTGTGTGTGTGGGGGATGGGTAGATGTCTGGTTTTAAAAATAGAATTATACTATATCAAATATCCAGTAAAAGGGTACGCAACAGAAATATAATTGACCACATAGGGAAATTTTATTGGAAATAGGGGTAACATGTAGTTGACTAAAGATGTAAAGATAAGTTTTGAACATCATGCAGGTCATATCATATTTTGTGATCAGCAGAATAAACACTATTTACTAACGAATATATTCTTGTTTTTTAGTCACTAAAATTTGAAGGACAAAATGAAAATCTCCATCTCTGTGCTGCAAATTACCCATCTAAGTAGAGTTCAAAAAAAAAAAAGTAACTCCTTAAAACAAGGACAAATGAAGTTGTTGTTGTTGTTAGGTGCCATGTAGTCGGTACCAACCCATAGCGACGTTATGCACAGTAGAACAAATACTGCCCGATCCTGGGCCAACCTCACTGTTGTTGCCACGCTTGAGCCCATGGATACTGCCACTTGGCGTAGGGATGGGTAATAATTAAGTTTTCAAATGTCTATACAGATATAATCAATCACTGCTTCATGCAGGGCCTGACTGGAGGTGGGAGGTAGGGGTTAACATCTGCTGAATTCCAAGCCAGGGAAATTCACAGGATAACTGAAGCCACACTTTGGGGGTGGGGGTGCTTCTTCACTTTCCTATTATCTAGCCTTGGAAACCCTATGCAGGATGCTAAGAGTTGGATTTGATTCCCTGGCATACCACCACCACCACCAATCAGGAAAAATCTGATTAACATAAATAACAATGAACTCTTACCAAAACACACCTGCAAGGGCTGAGAAACCAAGAAGTGTTGAGGGAAAGAGGAAGAAACCTTGCCCATTGTTGCCTTGTTCTTTAGGGTCAGGGGAGTCTTGGGGATTTCCTATACTCTGTGCGGCGCTGGCTGTGGGTTAATGCGCCAGACTGCAAAGCCTTTTCAACTGCAAGGTCGGCAGTTCAAGCTTACCAGCTGCTCCTCGGAAACCCTATACAGGGTCGCTATGGGTCGGAACCGACTCAACGGCACTTAACAACAACAACATATTCTCTTGTTTGAAAGGAGCCCTGGTGGTGCAGTGGTTAAAGCCACTCAAAGGGAGAAAGATGTGGCTGTCTGCTTGCACAAAGATTCCAACCTTGAAGCCCTCATGGGTCAATTCTAGTCTGTCCTGTAGTGTTTTTATGAGTCAGACTCAACTTGACAGCAAGGGGTGGGTTTGGTGAGTGATTACATAGGTCTGGGGAAAACGGATATGCTATGAGTGAGTCATGCAACATTTTTTTTTTTTTTAAATATTGGGGCTCTGCCTGGTCAGCTGCGATTTCTTCTCATATTATGCATTGACTGATACGGGGTGGGGTGGGGTGAGGTCTCCAACAGGTGTCTACTGTGATGGAAAAGCCATAAGATTTCAGTAAGTCTTGGCCTGTTGGACAATGTGGAGTTTGAAGCTTCCTGTCTCAGATGAGAGGAGCTCTTTTTATTTTGCCTGTTACTGAAGGGATTTCCTTTGGGAATTGTTACAATAGCATATGAAAATTTGAGAGTAGTATTCTGTTTTGCTTTGCCATCTTGGGGTGACTCTGAAAAGCTTTCTTACCTCTTGAGATGAAGAAAATATTCACAGGACTGATTAATCACTACGCAGAATTCAGTGAAGATAATTGGGCAATCTGAATCAGATATTCAGATGTAAAGATAGGTAGGCTCTGAAGACACAGTTTACATTCTGGGTTTGCAGGTAAAACTTTGCAAAGGGCCCCACCCCAGACATTGTAGCCATGTCTGCTGAGAACTTCTGCCCCTGACCCCAGCATGGAAATGACCGAATTCATAGGGAAAAACTCTTCACAGCAACAACAAAATAGATATGAATATGTATATATGTATAAAATTAAATTCATACATATTTAAAGCACACAACAGGCTGATGTTTTAGCTTTATGACATCTTTCTAGATAAAATAATGAAACCCAAACCAAGCCAAACAGCTGGAAAAACCTTGCCCAAGTGCCGGTAGCATCACTATTCCACGCAAGACTAAAATTTTTTCCCAAGATGCACACCCTGATTGATATTTCAATAGCTTGATTAAAATTTTCTCAGAAGTCTATCAAGAGTCAGGAAACGGATCTGTGGTGTAGGTGAGGATTTTAAGTTCTGAAACGGAAACTTTTAGCCCCATGAGTAGAATAGCAAAAAATTAAATGTATTTTTCCTCCATCCTTGCCTAGCCAAAGGTAAAAAATGAACACTGTTTTGAGAAGTGGTATTTAGATTTGCTTTTTACTCTCCCCCCTCCCCATGAAACACCCAGGTGGACTTCATATAATCCAAATTTTAAATTGTTTTCTAACTTCGAATAAACCTGGTCACCCCAGCACAATCTAGAGGTTTTTTTGTTTTTTTCTTAATTCCAGTCTCCAAAGTCAAGAAGGGTGGAGGGGCGGGGAGCGAAGGTAATTCGAGGTTTTTAGGAGATGGGTTGCCATTTCCTAATTGAGAAATGAGTCTGACAGCCGTTTGGCCAGCTCAATTTTAGACACTGTTCTGAAAAAATCGAAGGGCTGGAGCTGTCCGCGCGCTGAGAAAACTCCATTCCCCGAGAGACCTCAGGCAGCCCGCCTGCTCGTCTCCGGGGTTCTGCCCTTCTTCGAGCAGACACCGTGGCTCCCCCAGGTCTGTCTCCTCCAGCTCTCAGCTCGGCGCTGACCCGGCCGCCCCAAGCTCGCCACCACCAGGTCGGAGCAAATACCTTTTCCCTCCCTGGGCCCCAGCACGAGGACACCTCCCAACCTCCCTCCCTCCCAGTCGGCGGGGCCCTTTCCCGGCTCGGGATCTGCGACCGCAGGAAGCGAAGCCCTTGTTGATGCTGTTCCCTGACGCGCCTCCCCGCCCTCCGGAGGCCGCCCTGGCTCTTCCCCGATCGATACACCTCCCTCCGCGCGCTTGCGCAGTGTCCCGCGAGGGGGCGGGGCTCAGATTCCTGTCAGCGGCGGCGGCGGTAGCGGCGACCGTCAGTTTTCGCTGAGGAGAAGCACGAAACGGACCCGTTGGCTCTCCCCCCTCCCTTTCCCCGCCCTGAACCCCCTCCTGGCGCGCCGGGAATTAGTCTCTGTGGAGTTTCTCCTTCACCTCGCCGCCGTTTCTTCGGTCTTCGGCCCAGTGGAAGTCACTGCTGCCCTCGAAGAGGAGGCAGCGACAGCGGTAGCCGCCCTCGCCTCGCCTCGCCGCCCCCGGTTCGGTGCCCGCGGTCCCGGAGAGGAGGTGCCGCCGCCACCGCCGCTCCCCCCCTCCCGCAGCCCTCGGGCCGGGCTGGGTCGAGCTGCGATGCCCTCGGACTTCATCTCATTGCTCAGCGCGGACCTAGACCTGGAATCGCCCAAGTCCCTGTACTCGCGAGGTGAGTCAGGCTGGGGGCTGGGGCGTGGGGGCGGGGAGGCCGAGCCGGGGCAGCGCGGCGGGTCTCCGTCGGGGGCCAGGGCCGGCGAAAGCCGGGCCGGGGGGAGTGCGGGGGAGGGCGCCGAGGGGGTCGGGGGGCTGGCGGCTCCTCCCCCGCGGAGCCCCGAATTCCGTCGGCCCCCCGGCTCTGCGGCACCCGGGGCTCCGTCTGGCCGCGCCACCCTGGGCCAGCGGGCCGCTCGGCCTCCCCCGCGCGGGGATCCCCCGGCTTGGGCCCCGCCGCGCCTCTGCCCAGCGCCCTCCTGCCCGGCAAAGTTGGCGGGCCGCGTCCGGGGCCAGGGGCGCCCTGCCTCCCTCCTCCAGGTTGTTTATGCGCCGCCGTCTCACCCTCTCCCTTCGGCCTAGTCCCCTCCTCCCGCCGGGCTCGGGACGGCCCCGCGCCACCAGCCCTTCCTCCGTCCCTCGTCATCTCAGTGCAGTAAAGGACCCGAACCGAACAGTCGTCTTCTGTGCCCACCTCGGTGCCTTTCCCAGACCTGTGCGCCTCACGGCTCCCTGGGGGACCGGTTCGGGCCCAGACGCGGCCCTGGGAGAACTGGCTCCGCTTTGCCGTTCGGAGAGTTGGTTTGCAGGGAGTGGGCACTGGCCTGAGGTTCCGATCCTACAAGTCCTTGGGCTCGGGCCTGCGGGGGCTTCCCAGCATCGGAAACGGGGACACTTGAGCGGACCTCCACGGAGGTGAAATTCCTCTACTGGACAGCACAAGAATGTGTCAGAACAGGTTCCCTGTGCAAGGGGCATCCCACCAAAATACGCCCACTGCTCTCCTCCACCTTTCCAGCCGCTGGGGGCTTAACTAGTTCTGAAGAAGAATGGTGTGGCATTAGGCGCACCCAGCCTGAGAATTTGAGTATGTCTTCAGTTTTTGGTGGCTCGATCGGCTGATTCCCACGGCTCCCCCCTTCCCCAAAAAAGATCATCAGCCAAACGGTGATGGATCTAAATTAAGTCAATCAGAGTGCGATGGAAGGTGCTGGACTTTATAAACGGAACTGACTCTTGAGTTAGTTTGTACACAGAACCCTACTTAGTAACTGCAGTCATTGTTGCTCAGATGCCTTTGCTTGGCAGTTACCATCCTGTAGGATTATTTTTGTTTTTTTTTTAAGGGGGAGTGTGTGTGTGTGTGTGTGGGACAACCTAACCTGAAGTAGTTTGGTAATGTAGTTATTGAGAGTCAAAAGGAAAAGACAGTTATCAAGAGATGATTCTGAGAAAATGTGGGCTGATGTGGTACAATTGTGTGCTAAAAATAGTCAAGACATTAGCACCTTTGGGTCAGTCGTAGATAATTTTCCATGAAACAAATAAATGCTTTATGAAAATCTAAGTTTAGCGTACACACTTGTGTAGTGGTAACTCAACCTTCTGTTGCAGGGAATATAGTCACAGATATGGGTTTTATCTCTTAAAAATATATATATGTCAGTTATGTAAGAGATGTATGCTATTCTTGGCAATTAAAAAAAATCATTCCACATAAAAAGTACTTATTGCTTTTTGTGTTTTTCAGATTCTCTGAAGTTAAACCCACCACAGAATTTTCATAGAGCTGGACTATTGGAAGGTCAGCAAAGTGCCCTTTTAAAAGCATATTGTGTTAGTATGCAAAGGCTTTCTCTGAAACGAAGTTTGTATGAGACAGTTGAAACTTTGCAATCTAACACAATGTAGTTTTTTCCTAAAGAGCCTGATCCTTCTTTTAGAGCAGCTGAATGTTTCTGGATTTAGGGCTAGATTGGGTGTGCTTGTTGGTGGTTATATCTGCTTAGAGATGTCTTGGAAAAAGAAATCATTTAAAATTAGTGTTTGGTGTTTTTTACACATAAACCATATAAGGAAAAGAAAAACATTAAATTCATGAATGTGGCTGGCTGAAAGAGTGACACCAATCACATATTTATAACTTTTATTTGCTGAGCACATAAAAAATGATGTATTATGAAGGCTTTGGTGTCATTACTATAAGGATAAGGAAACCCAAGAAATGGAATGATGATCGAGTTAATGGTTTAGCTATGCGTAGAAGAGTAGAGAAGTGGGTTCCTCAAGGTCAGCAGTTTGAATCCAACAGCTGATTTGTTGGAGAAAGATGATGCTTTCTACTCCCATAAAGATTTACACTATATTGGGTCCCCAGAGTCTTAGTGTGTCACTACGGGTTAATGCTTTGAGCTGCAAGGTCAGTGGTTCAAGCTCACCAACTGCTCCCTGGAAGCCCTATATAGGGTCTCTAGGAGTCAGAACTGACAACATGGCACTTATCAACAACAAATATAGGGTCACTGTGAGTTGGAACCCACTCAGGGGCACACAACCACCACCACCTGCATAGAATGAAAACTTTGAGAAAGTTTTGAAAATGTTAATGATTTTATTATGTGCCCTTGAAAGTCAGTTCTGACACACAGTGACCCTGTATAGGCTTTCCAAGGACTTGTAAAATAATGTAAACTGCTCTGCTAACAGTTACTTTAGAAAACTTTATTTTGTATGTTTTTTTATACGCATTTACAGACAAAATACCCTTACTTGTTTTATGTAGCTTTTGAAGTGATTTCTTTATATATCGTCTTTGAATTTATAGTCCTGGGATTGGACAGCAAGGATATTATTTTCTCTATTATACAGATGAGTAAACTGTGACTTACATTAAACAATTTGGAAAAAGAAAAAAAAGTCAGTAGTAGAAACCATTTTATGTTTTAATTAATGCTTTTAACAAAGCCAGGCTTCCACCATAAGGAATACAACTAGTAACCTAAATATTTTATGGCCCATCTTAAAAAGGCCCCAGGTTTTAAAGTTTGACTGGAATTTAGACATTTGCTTTCCTTATATACAGTTTGAAAGGGTGGAAGGAAAAGTGGGCTTTTAAATTGAGCTTGAGTTTGAATGCCAGGTTAGTTAACATATTAGCTGTATGACCTGAGGCAGCTGATTTTACCTCTCTAAGCTTTAATATTCTTTCTATAACAATGTTCATAGTGTCTGTAAGCTTACTCAGCTAATGTGCATGAAGTGCATAGTATTTGACTTAATAAATGTAAAAAAAAATAAGTTTTCTGATAACAAACCTGTTGAACAGTGTACTTCAGAGCATAGAAAAGGTTTACTGATTATTGATTGTATTTTAATTTATAAGAAGATATGTTTGCTTGAAAATAAAATATTTTTAAAACTGCAATTTTGAAGTAGGAACTTTTTAAAGGTCTTTCTTAGCAAAACAGATTTCTTTTTTTTATTCAGGTTGTTCAATTTGTGACCATGTTGTGAAGTCATATGTCTGTACATATTCATCCATTTTCTAGGCATCAAACCAGAGAGTATCATGATCTTAGAGATTATCAGGAGGAGGGAAATAATGAAGAAAAAAATAGACTATTAATTATTTAAGCAAATATTTTTGAGTTGATGGAAATACAGATAGCTGTTTAATATGTATACTTACATGTTTGTATCTAAATATTTATTTTTCAGTTTGGTTGAGAAGATACTCATTTTAGTAAGACACATTTTATATATAAAGTTTATACTTATCAAGTGTGTCATGCTCATTCTTGATATAGGTTATTATATAATAAAATCTTTATATGAACCTATTTCTGTTTTTAACCTTTCATTATGGACATTTTAAAGGAGACATAGTAGATAGAATAGAATCATGAACCACCATGTATTTACTGATCACCAAGCTCTAACAATTATCAATGCATATCTAATCTTGTTTGTTTATTCTCTCTCCTACCATAAATGAGATTATTGTAAAACAAATATCAGGTATTATATTATTCCTTATGTAAATATTTCTGCACATATCTTATAGTAATTTTTAAAATATTCAATTTTAGTCTGGAAAATACGTGTTCTAGTTTATTTTAGGGACATCTCTTACCTCTCCCCTGCCCACTTTTCAGGACTATGTACATAGCAAAAGGCAGTTGTTTTCAGTATTTAGTGTACCCTGTAATATGTGTTAAGTTTTACATAGTTCATGAGGTCAGACTTGGGTTCAAATCCTTGTTTCAACATTTACTTGTGTGTGGCCTTGGACTTATCATTTGATCTTTTTGTGATTCATTTTTCTCATCTTTGTTGTTGTTGTTAAGTGCTGTCAAGTCGGTCCCTACTCATAGCGACTCTCCCGAGGAGCAGCTGGTGAGTTTTAACTACCGACCTTGTGATTCAAACCATCCTTGCAGTACATTGCATTATCCTACAGGACCACACCAGGACTCATAGTCAGTCAGTGGTGATGGTGATTGTGTGTCTTAGAGTTGGTTCCGACTCATAGCAACCTGTATAGGGTTTCTGAGGCTATAAGCCTTTACTTGAGTAGAAAGCCTCATCTTTCAGAGGAACTGCTTGTAGTTTTGAACTGCTGACCTTGAGGTTAGTAGTGCTCAATAAGAATGTTGTTGTTGTTATGTGGTGGAGTTAGTTCCGACTCATAATGACCCTGTACAGGGTTTCCAAGGCTGTAAATCTTTACGGGAGCAGAAAGTCAATAAGAATAATTACGTATAAAAATTGTATCATTGCACAAAGGCCTGGCTAATCTCTGTATTGTTCCAATGTTAGTATATGTACTGCTGAAGCAAGCACTAAATACAGACATTTTAAACTAAAAATATGTATATGTTGTCATGTTGTTTTTAAATGCTGTCTAGTTAGTTGATTCTGTATAGGCTTTCTGAGGAGTGGCTGGTGTGAACTGCTGACCTTGTAGTTACCAGTCCAGCATTGATCCAGTAGTGCCACACCAGGACTTATTGTATACTTGTTGTGAAGTGCAATCAAGTTGGTTCCGACCCATAGCGAACCCTGTATAGTGTTTCTAAGGAGCAGCTGGTGAGCTTGAACTGCTGACCTTGTAGGTCAAACGGCTTTGCAGTCTGGTGCATTAACCCACAGCGCCACACCAGAACTGTAAAAAAATAA